CGATAAGTGTGGCAACCCTAGAGGAGAAGTTTCTTACGAGTAGCGAGCAGAGCGAAACAGGCAGGCTGTCGGGGAGTATGCGCGATGTTCCTAAATAAAGCTTAATTTTTATTGTGCACTATGTCTTGTTAATATTTATATTAATGCAGTAAGAACATAATCTGTGATATGGAATTCGAGGATTGGTGGTAAAAACATAATCGGAAATTTCCATACTTGACAAATTCGAATCGGTGACCAAAGTGCAACGTGAATATCGTCGCGTGTATAGCGAACCGCCACCACATAGGAATAACATTAATCGGTGGGATAAGTAGTTGAAGGATACCGGCATTTTGTTGGACAAACCCCGTTTTGGCAGGCCATGATTGGCATGGAATGAAGTACCAATATTTGGATAGATCGTGGATCCAAGTCCGTTTGGGTTTGATACCGAGCAGGATTACAACCGTTATTTTGGCCAGAGATGCAGCTCTGTATAGTTAATTCTCCACCCTTTTTACCCCAAATTATTTATAAATTCAATCATGTCTTTCTACCGTTATATAGTATATGTACAATAAATAAAATTCTGCTACTTGCTTTTATTTCTGGTAAAGCAATTTTAATGGCCAACAGCGTAGCTTATTTTTCGCACCGTTTCTCTCAAGCCGCCAGATAATTCAGACTTTTGACAGATGCTGTTTGAGTAACTATTACCTTACGTGATGTAGAACAATTGTTCTTAAACGTATACAGAGTGCTCAATAAAAGGGGAATTACTTTTAAGCATATATAACACTTACATACTTTAATTAATTTTAAAGTGCTCTAGAAAAGAATGAATGCATTTTTTGCAAGATTGTTTTAATGCTGGAAACATGAAAACAGTTCTGAAACGTTTGATGTAGATTGTTATTCATGAAAAATATTTTCCTGCACCTCATCGTAACTTTTGCCCCTTATCCTTTGGTTTTCTAGCCAATAAATTGATTTTTGAAGCTTCCTTTATTCCTGAAGAAAAGAAAATGTTGCACTGAGCAAAAAGAAGATATGGCTAGTAGCATCATTAATCAACCATTACCGTGTTTGTTCTTTCAAAAGAACTGCAGGATGGACAGAAGTTTTTCAGAAATCTGGTGAATGGACTTTTGTTGATCTTCATTAAAATGCTGTCGTACTTTCACAATATTTTTCTCATTTATGCACAGACTTCATCTGACATGTTGCCATTTTCGAATTCAGGACATTCGTACACTTGCGATTTACTCAAACCATTGCCTTTAAAATTTGCCGAAGCATAACAGTGGTATCAGTTGAAGGTTTTCTTAAAAACGCTACATGTCAAAGACATTTCTTTGCGGTCGCATAACAAGAACTGACAGAGCGTTGCAAGCAGAAACGTACAAGAATCAGCACAAATGATAGAGTTCCCCTCAGATCAATGCCACTTTACAAATACGCGTAGGAAATTGTAAGCAAACAAGGACAATTTTAAGATACGAATCGTAATCATGAAATGCTTGATTGCGGTATGGTCAATACGATTAATTTGAGTATCCCTACGTAATGTTTCGAATCTTAATAGTAAGTACACTTTTCGATTAACGAATCATTAACTTGCATGGTGCTTATATGAGTTTTTTATAATTAAAGGAAAAAAAGATTTCTGAAAAGTTTCAGAGACGATCATAATACCCTCCTGGCTTGTTACACCGATGATACGGCTGTTGCTATTAAATCTAAATCGCGCTCGTCAAAATATAGGAAAAGATCCCCGTCATGGGTTGTAAATGTAAGGCTCTTCGGTACCCTGGTTCCCAGAGTGGACAGCGGCAGTTATCTCGGGTTACCTTTAATAGGTCATTCACCTGGTCCACTCGCATAGTCAAAGTGTGTGTAAAGGCATAGGGAATAATGTTCAAACTTTTCTCACTGCTTAAATATGATCAGCTGTCTATTAATTTGAAAGAAAGAATCTATATCACATCTATTACGCCTATTATTAAGTATGTGTGTCTAGCCTGGAGTACTGTCAGCGAAAAAGGCTACAAAGAACTTCAGTTGTTGCAAAAATAGAGCCCTTAGAATTATCACAGGTGCCCCGTATTTTATACGAAATAGAAGCTTGCACTCCGATTTAAAAATAGATTCAATCAAAGATTTCACCACACGGTGAATGGAAGATTTTATGAGCGAACTTTAAGAAATAACGCAGTAAATTTCGCAAAAACACGACATTCTAGAGGAAGATAGATTTTTTAGGCACTACGGTGCTTATTTGCTGCGTATTACACTGAACAATCAGGAGGAATAATGAGAAAGAATTCCATAGTGCTTTTACTACTTAGTTTGATATTGCGTCTTTACAAATGTATGAATTCTGGGAGAACACCAGCATCGACACCGATCAATCTCCAGACCCTTACCCAGTCTTCATATTTTTGAAGCAAGGAGCTTCAATCTTTTTCTCCTCGTTAGGTACTTATCTCCTTTGGAGAATATTCTTTACGGTTGTATAACAAGTGAGGCCCTAATGGGAGTCTTTCAATAACTGGCAAGAGTAGGGATAACTATCACCTGCTGCAGGCCAGTATAACCGACCAAGCATCAAAGTATCATTTAGCCTATGACGAATCTTCCATAAGGAATAAACTTCTCTGAAAATGCAAAATGAACGTTACAAAAATTTATCTAATTGCAGCCACTTAAACTTCAATGACTTCGATGTCCGATTCATTTTGCGCACTTATAAAAGTCTTAAACAACTGAGTTACGATGTTTGTGCGAGTTTAAACATTTTAACGATATGGGTAGATAAGACTTATTTTTCCAAATTATCAACATTTTTTGTGTGTTGCAAGAGCAATCTCAAACGCCCTTTATAAAATAAAAGTAGGTTTCGGGTAATATATGACATATTAATTCTTCGTAAGCTATCTTAAAATATAAACGGGAATCGGATCAATCCACATAGGGCAGGACAAAATGAAAGAGACTGATAAATGGAAATGAGCCAGAATGCGTACAAATGAAGCCGATAATGAGGTTGTTATGACTTATCTCACTTGTTTAACACTAATATCAGAATACGTCCTCAAGCTTCGTCTTGGCAAGGAACACATAGCTGCATATGTTGTCAACGTTCGGGACTTTGTACGTGATGGTACTGCTTTGGACACCGCCATCTCAATTTTTAAGAATCTGGGGGGGGAGATCGAAGCACCTCCCACCCCTCTTTCCTTATCTCCAAATCCCTCGAGAGGATTTGTGCATCGCCATGCATTTTATTTACAAACATCCAAGCCTTTTAGGGATTTCAACCCGAAGTCAACTAAATGCCACTCAGCATCATTAATTTCGCTAAATTTATGTACAGTATCGATTATATCTGGAGCCGTTAATTTCAGAAAAGGAAATTTCACAGTTTTAGGCATAACCAACAAAAGGAAAGGTGCAGCAAGTTTTAGATATACTTTTAATTTGCTCACTACTTTGTTTATCATAAAATAAAACCTGGTATTCACAAATGTGATCAGAAAAAAATAAATTTATCATGACGTAAAATAGTTACCGTATTTTTCGCCGTATAAGACGCACCCAATTTTAAAGGAGGCAAATCTAGAAAAAAATGATTATGAACCAAATTCTGTAGTAAAATATTTTATATCAACTGTATAAAGTTAACAGCAGTTTAAGAAAAATTTTATGTCAACCATGTAACATACTAAGAGCTATCTTTACTCTCATAAACAGTCAGCAAACAGTGAAAGTAACAAAAATAAGGCTGTCATGTTTTTTTTATTCTAACCCCCAAGAATTCCTCTTCTTCGTTGCTATCAGAAATGAGGAAGGACAGATCCACGCAGTCATTGTCATCACTTTCTTCCTCACTGGTGTCAAATAAGACGTCGTCTTCTGTTCCATCCAAGGGCATTACTAATGCCACACTTGAATGATTTTACAACAATGTCTTTCTTTACGGAGTCCCATGACCTTTTAACCCATTCACACACACTTGTGTGATAGTATTCCTTTGGCATTATTTGTGCAATTTTGGTTTTGGTGCGCATAGAAAGGCCAGATCTCTTCATAAATCTATAGCACCACGATGGTGATCCGGTGAAATCCTGAATGCCTTTCTCCACAGCAATGCGTTTGGCCTCATAGATTATCATTTTTGTTGAGACAGAAAGTCCATTTTGCCGGTGACGTGTGATCCACTCCTTTACTTCTACCTCTAACTCTGGCCACTTTGCCACTTTGCTTTGGTCCACGCAAGGTGTGCTTGCTTTTATCCAACTTTGGAGCTGATCCTCCTGTTTCCTCCTCCCTCTTATCATTTTCTCAGTTGGAGGTGGGCCAAAGTGTTTCTCCCGCTGCTCTTTTGTTCCATGCTCCTTAGCAAAATTTTATTACTTTCAGCTTGAAAGCAACTTTATATGCCAGTCTCTTCTGCTTCGACATCTTGATGGGGTGGTATGAAATATGATATATTTCATTCAGATATACCATACTACATATATCACAGCTCACAGCTATCCGCGCCTCCGCTTGCTCCCGCACTGCGATTGGCTGAGGGGAGACGCGTGCCTTCACCCGCTCCCGCGCTGGCTACGAGACTAAAAAGTGCACAAAGCCAGCGGCGGGAGCGAGCGAAGGCACGCGCCTCTTCGCTCAGCCAATCGCGGCGCGAGGCAGAGACCGTCTAAATACAGTGCGAGGCAGAGCGGGGCTTCCTGGTCTCAGACGGCGCCAAGAGGTGGAAGGGAACGGAGTGGCCGAGTATTCCTGCGGTAAGGTATGTATGCAGAGGTGGAGGGGCAGCGGAGGGCCATGGTGGGCTTTTGTATTTGCCGTATAAGACGCAGGCACTTTCCCCCCCTGATTTTGGGGAGAAAAAGTGCGTCTTATACGGCGAAAAATACGGTACACAATTTTTAATTGGTTTGCAATATTTACTGTTTTATTAATCAGCAAGTAAACAAACATCAAACAGAAAGCAATTATATCTTTCTTACCGCTTCCTTTTCCTTTAGCTCTTTACAACGATAACCCGGTATACAATAGCATGTGCCACTTTGGGGTGAATTTGAACCATTACTCACTGTGCAAAGATGACCTAAGAAAAGAAAGAAAACTTAAGCGTTGCTTTTAGAAATGTATTTTTGTTACTGTATAAGATATAAATATTTTTAAAGGATTCCGGCATTATCAATATCATTAAGGAAAAATCCTCACCTTCCTGAAATAGTAATATACATTCATTTCGTGGCCAATTGCATTATTCTGCTGTTAATAGAAATATCGGTATAATCAGAAATTTCGCGAAGGTATTATGCCAGTAATGGGACAATTAATAAATTGTAGCTTTTATTACTTGAAAACAAAACTTTATATGTCATTATTACTAACATTTACTAACATTTGTTTCTCACCAGCAATAGGACTCCCTAGCAATTAAGCTGTAAAGTTGCTCAACACTGGCAGTTCGGTCGGAGGTTCGAATCCCATGAACGGGATGGCTGCATGGTCGTTTTCGGGATTTTCCTCACGTGTAACGTGTATGGGAGTTAGTTTCCCTTAGAAAATTCCTTCGGCATCTCTTCCCTTAGACAAACCAAAATAGAAGAAATTAAAGATGGGATAAAACTTTAAATTTTGCTGAGCCGAATCCAAAAATACTCTTGAATCACCGGAATCTTGAAATTCTCGAATTTTTCGTGCAAGAATTAGAAGAAAATTCCAGTTTTGCGATTAATAGAGAAAGGATTAAAGACTACATATTTAGAAATACATATTTAGACTACATATTTAGAAATACAAATTTAATTAGATGACAGAAATTAAATGTAGCGAAGGAAGCACATATATAAAATTCTGAATATTTATTTCTGCTTTGTGAATATAATTTGTGAAAAAAATATTTTAATAACGACTTGCATATTTTTTATTTTTGCTGAATCCATTTAAATTCAAAGCAAACAGAGGCCAAGAAATTATTTCAAATGTCATTTGCTGAATAATAAATATAAAATGTTATATTCCCTCTAGAAATGCATCTTTCTTGCTGTATTGTATTTCTTGCTGTATTGCACTGAGGGCAGCCTTCAGATGATATTAGTGAAATTGATAACGTGAGTTTAGTTGACCAAATATAATAATAAGATGTTTTAAATATTAAACCTGTAATCTATTCAGTTATTTTAAGCTAATGAATCTCAGATATGAAATGTTTGTTTGCTGATTCAGATTATCATCTTACCAGGTTTTGTCAAATCTGAACATTCCTTCTTCCCATCCTTTTCCAGGCAGCATTGTCCTTTGGGGCAGTTGTTATTGACTCGACAGGACTTACTCGATACCATCTGAAATCAAAAGTTAATATAAACATATGTAATTGACTATCTAAAATGTTTCGAGATGCTATTTAGGAAGTGTGATGAAATTTTACTATAAAACGAACCAAACTTTGTTAACGTTGCAGCTAAACGTCTGCGCTGTTAGAAGCGAACCTTCTATTATCTGTATCTATTACTATCACACCTGCATCTCTAAAAGATTAAAAAAAATAGTTTTTAGGATGATTTACATTGTTATACTACAATTTACTATTTTCTCCGAGAACACAAAAAGCTGCATTTTGTGTTCACAAAGTCATTAACGTTTTGGATTATGCATACTTAATTTAATATTTAAAGCTTAATAGAGGTTCCTATAGTTGAATATATAAAATGTTTAAAGCTTCGTATACTAGCCCTAAGATTAACTAATTGAAATAAATTAGCACTGTATTAAAATCTTTAATTCAATATAACTGTCATGTTTAAAGCTTCGTATACTAGCCCTAAGATTAACTAATTGAAATAAATTAGCACTGTATTAAAATCTTTAATTCAATATAACTGTCATTTAGCGAAGTATCGTACTGAATTTGTTCATTTAGCGCACTTCCTATCATAAGAATATGGATAATTTACTCAGTGTTGATTTCATATTAAATTTGCGTTGCAAAAAGTTTTGCGTTGCAGCAATGATGCATTTTGAGTTGATAGACGACAATCGAAGTTCAAAATCCAACAAGAATATTGTAATATTGGGTAATGAGCTTACAATGTTGTTACCGTTGTAGTCGTTACAAATCTATTGAAAGAAAGTAAAAAAATTCCTCAAGTGTGTTTTTATTTAGTTTCTACGGTTCATATTTTATGAGAAATGATCAGTGATATCTATTAATATACAATAATTGTAATACAATACAAGGAAACAAAGTAATAATAATGCAATATATTGAATTAATACTAGTTCTTAAGGAATTAATACAAAAAAATAACATATTTTGGAGTTTTATTGGCTTGTAAGTGAGTGTTACGAATCTAAATTTCATCTGCATTTACACGTATGTGGAACATGACGTCCTTATTTGAAATATAATCGCAAGCCAGGCTACTTGTAAGAGTCATCAAAACCCGAGGCTTATCACGGTGATATTCCCTGCTTCCTTGCTTCAATGTGTCAGGAGACTTGCAGTGTAGCATACCTTCAACGTTTCCATGATGTATTTGATTATAAAGTTCCAGAGGTATGGATGGTGTTACAAAGGTCTTACGATTAGTAAAGTATATCACTGTATGTTTGTTCTTTGGATCATTTTGGAAAAACGTGATATGGTTGAGGAATTTTCGAAAGTACAGGAAAAGATACTCATGAATTTACGAGAAATGGGAAGTTCTAGTTCTCGATTGGCAGCCCATACCTCTTCAACATTTCCATATTGTTACTCATATGGCATCCATTATCAAGGCCAAAGTGGCAGCTACGCGTTTCGAACCAGCTATCTCTGATTGAATGGCACTTCAGTGTATCATTTTTACACAGATAAGTTAAAATTAATAAATTGTTATCGTTTATGGGTTATTTCTATATTTTACGTTAAAAGGAAACTTATTTCATTTATAAAATTATCTCCAGTTACATTTCTTAGACCACCGATTCTCAACCGGTGGTACGCATACCACTGTTGGTACACAAGAGAAAAATAGGTGGTATGCAAAGAAACAAAGTATTTTTAACTATTAAGTTCAAAAATCTCGTGAAGAGAAAAAAAAAAAAAAAAAAAAAAAAAAAAAAAAAAAAAAAAAAAAACAGTTGATAGAAATTTCCTGTGATAGAACTCGAGCTGAAGATTAAAAAATAACACACTGGTTAACTTTTGATTGAACGGAGAAAAGGATTTAAAAGTATCTCAAAAAAAGCTGTTAAATTTTTATTGCCTTTTTGCACAATGCATTTGCGTGAACAAGGATTTTCTTCTATGTTATATCTGAAGAATAAATATGGAACAAAACTAAAAGTGTGTCCTAATTTACGGTTAAAGCTAAGTAAAATAAGGCCAGACATAATAAAATTGATCTATCGTAAACAGAGGGAAATTTCACACCAAATGTTAGAATTTAAATATTAGAACTTACATTTTGATAATTAAAATTGTAACCAATTTTTAATCTAAGATTTTTATGTGTGCATATTTTACGCAAATAGCCAATACGTTGTGCAAATGACAAAATATTTCTATTGAGAATTTGAAAAATAGTCATTGTAAAATGTAGTGGTGGTACTAAAGTTTTTCAATTTTTGTTTAGATGGTACGCGTTAGTCAAAAGGTTGAAAACCGCTGTCTTAGACCATTTACTTTTCTTTTCAATAAAAATTTTTCTAAATATCAAGCTTGTACACACAAGATAGTGTTATACTAGAAGAGTTTCTTTTCTGGTGAAATAAGTCGAAAATATCAGGTTTATTTTACAACGAAGGCGTATTATAATGCAGTTAATTCGGTATTATATAATATTTTCTAGCAGTAATAACGAAATGAATTATGTCGGTTTTAAGTTCTCGGTTAAGTTTATATCTCAAATCTGAAGCTCAGCAATTAACATGGCAGTTGCAAGTTCACAGACTATAGGTGATATGATTCTTCTTCATCTGCTATCATAAATGTCTAATTTGCCTGTTCGTGTTGTGAAGGAAGGTTTCGGAAGTAGAGAACTAAACGAAAAGTTAAAAAAGTAGCTGATAAAATATTTAAAAAAAGTAATTTAAACGTTGCAAATGATGACCCAAATATCAGTCTTTTAAAACGTAATGTTTGAAAATGCGTATTAGAAAATGCAGAACTACAACTTAGTATGAAAGTAATCTTTTGGAGCCGAGCTTACTATATTGTCTATACATGGGAAATAGTTTATTATGTCATCTTGAGAAAAAGATGGAATAATCACATGTTTTCACATTAATAAAAATATTAATAATATTTATAACTGAAACCGTCAGTTTTCTTCTTTAAAATCTAACTCTGCGCGTTTAATTCAATTTGCTATTGACAAGAAATAAAAATAAGTTAATCCCAAGGGTTGTGTGCATGTTATTATCAAATTTATAGTTTGTCCTTCTTTGATAGCATAAACTTATATAAAACCCTTACAGACATTAAGAGAATTACTGCTGTACCTGAAGTAACGACATAATCTTGAACAGATATAGGGATAACAGGTTTTTTTTTAATGCTGGGGACGTGAAAAATGTGTGATGCCCTCGCCGAGATTTAACTCCGATCCTCCTGAAGACGTGTCGAGCGTGGTTATTTGATGCATGGTATAACACCATGAAAGCATGCTAAAAGGCGGGAGAAAATGCCACATAAAAATTTTAAACAACCTTTTTATTAAAGCAGAACTTGATCATAAATGCACATTTCATGCTTAACAAAACAACCAACACTTGTGACGATTAAATTAAAGTCAGATTCTAATTTAAAATTAAGCTTTTTAGTCAAAATCTACACAGTTGATTTAAATTCTAAATTAGCTCAAAACTTCTCACCGGCTTAACAATTAAATATTGGCGGCAAAAACGCAAAGCCGAAGAATTACAATCTGATCAGAAATGCCAAAACCGAGTAGCATAGCTTCGAGATACAGGAACACGCTCTATCTTAAAATCCGAAGCCCTCAACTTATACTCTCTAACTTATTTGCATTTCTGATAAGGAAACGGAAAAGAGAAGTTACAGTAGAGGTCTAAACCATAACTGGTTAATTAAAACAATAATAACCTTATAAAATAACTTCAACGTTACAGTTTTAACACAGATTCAAGTAAGAAATATGTTAAAGTAATCATTCACGCAATGTTATTTGCTGTAAGGTATTGAATTTTGCTGTAAGACTTTGAATAAATATCGTACGAAAAGTGAAAATACAATAACATTTCATTTGATACTTCGTGAAGCCTTTCCTGCTTAGCCCAAAACCATTTATGATAACTGGATTTTAACTTTCTTTTTGAACTCCCGTTCAATTTTGTAGTTGTGTGCACATCAAATAAAATAAGCTAGAGTTTGGTACTACTTTATTAAGCCACTTAACAGCACTACGACAGACAATCATTCTTATAGAACTGAAGAATTTGTGAGTAAGCATTCAAACCTTTGCATCCTTACTCGATTTCGAATTTAGACAAATTGTCATATTATTTACATTAGTTGATTCACTCTGTAGTTATTGCCTACAACTATAGGGTCAAGAGCGATTAATTTTAGAGGTCCTGCATATCCTTTTTGTAATTTTTAATAATTATATTTCTCTTATTAAAATAGAGTAAAACTAGCTTTAAAGGTCCTTGAAAGAAAGCTTCGGCTGGAGCTAAGATTGATAAAATAGTTCTTTGTGGATAAAACTCTATAGACATGCCTAGAATACACAATTTTAACTTAATAAGTTGCGAAGGAAATATAATAGCACTACATAGCAGTTACGAAAGCTACATGCAAAATTCAAACAGACAATCGTAAGGGTAGTCTGTTATGTTCCTTTAATTCATCAAAAAATGCAACACAAGCATCGCCTCTAAAGTGTATTAGACTTTAATCAGGAAACGTGATACTCCGCCAGTTTCGAACTCCGGCCCTTCTTATTACTCGCAGGATGTGTTACGAGTTAGACTTTGAAGACATGCAGTGAGATAAGAGAAAATATCTGAAAGGTATCACTGTCTACTCGTTCGAGAAACCGGTGATGCACATGCAACCCTGTTTTTACCTTTAAAGCTGTAAAAGAATAATTATAGACATTTCCATTTCGTTTAAACAAGTTCCCATCAAAAACATTCTAACAATTCTTTCTGCTTTTTTCATTTACAGCTAGCTGCAAATAATCATAGCAATTTTTTATTAAAGGACGAAACTCGGATGAATTATAAATGATTTTGGTAGATTTAGAGAAATGAAATACTAGATTCTGTATTTAAATATCATAGAAATCTCATTCATCTCAAATATAAAAAGCGTGGAAAAAGCTAGTTTGCTGTATTTGTATAGCTACGTACTCAGAAATTTAAACGTCCCTTACCTGCAACAGAACAAATACAATCGTGAAAGACAGCAAAAAATGGGATTTCATCATTCTGTTTCTTCTCGTTCTGCTGTGCTTAGAAAGTTTTCAAAAGCAATGCTTTTTTGCGCGCTATATAGGAGAATTTCTGAATAAAATTTTGCATAAATCTTATGTCAATGAATGACGCTTACAAACTAGTTCAAAGAGAAAACTGCAAACCAATGTCTTCAATATTCATATATTCATCAAAAAGCAAATTTTAGGTCTTATCTCAATATCACGAATAAGGATAAAGGCAATTTAAAGTAAATAAATGACTAAAGATAAATATAGCACAGTCAGAGAGAAAATGGCATTTTTCACCTTCTCAATGTTACCGTCATATACTTTCACTTGCGAGATCTTCATTCTCGTGATTCACTTTGCATTATTTTACCAGTAAGTTGTATTAGATGAATTGCGACTGCACTTTCCCTCATGAAATATATCCACTTTCTTCTCTTTTCTCAAATATCTTTGTTCTCTCAAAACTTTATGACATGTACAGATTACGTATTTTAACTGTAAGAAGAATTTTTGTATGTTAGAACTTGCCAGATGTAAGATTTTAAAGAAATGGAAATGCAGTTTTAAGAAAATTAATTATCTGATAGAAATATTCTTGGAAAAAGAAATTATGTTTTGTAAAATAATTATACCTTTTCCCTGAGCTAACGAAATGAAATAAGAAAATAGTTACATATTTAAAAAATTGTAGAATCATCAGATATTTGTATTGCATGTAGCATGAAAAATCCTCGATACTCTTACTGGGATTCAGTTTTTGGATGCTCTTGCTGACATCCGTAACGTGCTACCAGATGCATCACAAACAGCAGGGGTAAAGGAAGGAGAAATTTCGTTATACTTTTTCCCACTTAAAGGGCTAATGGAGAGAAGGGTTTCCAGATCCTAGTGGTATCGTCCATCTCGTTGTAGTTCGAGGAACGTTTAGGCGTAAGAAAGGAAGAAAAAAACATTTACAGAGTTACTGAACATTGTTAGACCCCAAACACTAAAAAACAAAACCCAAAGGAGAAAAACAGGTAAGTGAGTTATTCAACTTACCTGTTTTTCTCCTAACGTACTAAACATTTTCAACTAATTTAGGCCTGGAAATTCTGAATAAAAGTATTAATGATATAGAATTGCAGTTAAAGTAAAGAAGCGATGTATATTTGTTATTTAGATTGTGTATGAGGTAGCACTAGGACCCCTGGCAAAGTTTGGATTTTTATATCTTCGAAAATACTTTAGCTTTTTTGGAGAATTACACAAATGTTTTATATGTTGAATACCGTAGCTGTCAAATTTACTATCCTAACAGTGCGCTGTTGCATTCATGTAAAACTAGCTCATTGAACCAAAATGAAATTCGTAACAGAAAAAGAAAATAGAAAGTGTACATAAAATATCTTTCCAAATGTCTGCAAGAGCGATGCTGTATGAAAATATGCTGTTTATACTTTTTCCCACTTAAAGGGCTAATGGAGAGAAGGGTTTCCAGATCCTAGTGGTATCGTCCATCTCGTTGTAGTTCGAGGAACGTTTAGGCGTAAGAAAGGAAGAAAAAAACATTTACAGAGTTACTGAACATTGTTAGACCCCCAAACACTAAAAAAACAAAACCCAAAGGAGAAAAACGGTAAGGAGTTTTCACTTACCTGTTTTCTCCTAACGTTACTAAAAATTTTCAATTAATTAGACTGGAAACTGAATAAAGTATTAATGATATAGAATTGCCGTTTTAAGTAAAGACAGCGATGTTATTTGTTATTTAGATTGTGTATGAGGTAGCACATAGGACACCTGGCAAAGTTTGGATTTTATATCTTCGAAAATACTTTAGCTTTTTTGGAGAATTCCACAAATGTTTTATATGTTGAATACCGTAGCTGTCAAATCTACTATCCTAACAGTGCGCTGTTGCATTCATGTAAAACTAGCTCATTGAACCAAAATGAAATTCGTAACAGAAAAAGAAAATAGAAAGTGTACATAAAATATCTTTCCAAATGTCTGCAAGAGCGATGCTGTATGAAAATATGCTGTAAATCTTACTTTTCACGAGGGCAAATAATTCTAAGATGGCTCTTTCTTGTTTTAGCGAAGACCTGTAGAAGAAACGTTTATTTTACTGGTACGTAATAATTGCTTAAACGATACATGTAAATTGATGTTTCTAATTTTAAAAAAATGAATTTCATCCAGGGAAAAATAATCGGACGTATCACGGAATTAACAGATACATTTAACAGATTTCCAAATACAGAAAGAAGTATTACCACTAATAATTTCACTGCTTTGCTAACATAGAGTAGCCCAAGAGAAAGCGAACCCAAAGTAAATGAAGAACACTTTTGGTAATGAACTCCAAGGAGATATTATAAACACATAGAAGAAAAAGGCTTATGTAGTTAGATAGGTTCGTGTCTCTATACCTAGTGCTGTAAATGTTGATCTTCATAATCCAAATGCAGTTTATAAATGACGTTCAGTGTGACTTTCCGGAACCGTCCCATAGGATATTTATAATGGCGTCGCGTACATTGTATTTAATAGGCAAAAGTTAGTGATAAAACTTGCCTCCAGTCTGCGTTTGCACGACAGTTGACAGGTGAAAGCGGGTCCGGAGACCCGGGCGGTTTACATAGACTAATAGGGTATTGTCAGGAATTCGTAACTTTTTAGTGCAACACCCCCAGCGCCCCACAAGGAATGCATGGAGAGTTTATTAAGATGCTACATATACATAGACACATTGCTACTCAGATACTAAATAACTAAAATATAGATACTAAGTAAATAGAATTTCTTCATTTCACAGATAATTACGAATGCTGAAACAGATATTAAATACTAATGCAGACATTATACATATACAGAGATCCTAAATATACTATTTCATACTGCACAGATATTAAAAATGAATGCTTACAGAGCTTCGAAATACGTTACACAAATCCATAAATATTACATACACTAATACATACTACACAAATGCTAGATACTAATATAGATACTCAGATACTATATATTATACTGATAGATACTATATACATTATTATTTACTACACAGATATTAAATACGGATGCACACACAGATTCTAAATACTAATGCAAGACATTAATCAGATGTACAGATATATGGATACTAGCGCAGATATAAAGATACGAAAGAACGCAAATATACAGATACTAAATACACTATTACACAAATATTAAGTACGAAATACACTAATGCAAATGTATACACAAATACAGAGATACTAAATACACTAATCCATACTACGCAGATACTAAATACTGATACAGATATACAGCTATTTAAATATACTGATAAAAAATACTACATACACTATTCTTTACTACACGATATTAAATGCGAATGCAGACACAGATTCTAAATACTAATGCAAGACATTACAGATATTTTGATACTAGATACGAAAGAACGCAGATATACAGATACTAAATATATTATTACACAGATATTAAATACGAATACACTAATGCAAGTCTTTACACAAATCCACAGATACTAAATACACTACGCCATACTACACTGACACAGATACACAGATAATAAATTATATTAATAAACAACTACTATATACACTATTATTTACTTCCCAGATATTAAATGCGAATCCAGACACAAATTCCAAATATTTATACAAGATATTACGCTAATATACAGATTTTAACGCAGATATATAGATAAGATGAATGACGAAAGAACGCAGATATACAGATACTAATTACAATATTACACAGATATTAAATACGAATACACAAATATTGAACTGCGCTATATAAACAGATATTAAATATACTACTTAGATATTTAATACGAATGCAGACACAGATACTAAATACCAATATAAGACAGTACGCAAATACATAAGGTCTAAGTCCATTACCACATACCACACAGATAAAAAGTATTGAGTATGCTTTACATTATGCAGGCGTTATACAGATATACAGATACTGCGTAATAAACAGATATATAGATATACAGATACTGTGTAATAAACAGATATATATATATACAGATACTGCATGACAGTATACAAATACATAATCAATAAACTGGTGCATACTAATCTGCATGACATAGATCCTGCCCCTAATGCCACTATTTTTTCCATTATACTTCTTAATTTCTTAAGGAACGCCGGCTGCTTGATGAAGCATCGCTTAAATGGGTCATCAGTGTCTGGCAACCGTATGTGCCATGCCTCTGTGCGTGGACACCTTGTTATGTAATAGTCTGGGGATCCAGCCTCTTCCCGCAAACAGAGGTTAGAGGAAACAAACCCCCTTTTCCAGAAATATTCCGGAAAAGAACCTTGGCCTGTGACAAAACGGGTTATGCATGGTGTTGATATTAGGCGGTCGGTGGAAGCTTTGCTGTAAAAAAATCGGCTTTTCTACCCTGGGGAATTCCGTCCTATCCATCCTGCCCATGTTGCTATAGTGTAGTGGTCAGAATTCTTCTCTTGAGATAGGATTATTTTGAGCAGGATGAGCACAATATGGCATCTATATTGCATGCGGCCTCCTTCGATAGCTCATCCACTTCTTCATTTCCCTTTTATCCAGCGTGGGCCTATATACAAGAAATGTAAGTTGGCTTGGGGCTCTTGTTTTCAAGAGCATGGATTGTATATCTTGTATGAGTGGAGCAGGATGAAAAGGATTTCGGATTACATGAATTATTTGAGAGGCTATTTGAAAAAAATTTCCTTCTACGTTTGCTCGTAAGTTTTAATTTAAAATATCAAAAATTCAACCCGATTGTGAAGTGCTTATTAAGGCCAGCATTTTGAATTGTTCATGTGTTTATTCACAGAGGTATTTGACAATCACCTAAATAATTTTATCTATTTTAAAATTCTGAAAATATTCTAGGAATCAGTTTTATTTTTATTATTTTACTGTATAGTCAATGGTTTAATTATTATTAGAAAGAAAGTTCACATTTTTAAATGCAATAAAAGTTTTTCTATGTATGTCAAAATGATCGCTATCGCGATTCTAGGTTAAAAAAATTATATATTTCTAATGTTAATAATTCTGAACATATACATGAATATTAATTGAAAGAAAGCTCACCAGTAGACGTT